TTGTCTAAGTTTTTGCTTACTTCTTCATAACCAAAATGTGTTTGGCTACTTCTGTCTTTCATGAATCCATGCTGTCTATTGTTTAAAATATTTTTTTCTTGCAAAAACTCACCTTTACTCTGCCTAAATATTTTTGGACCATATAAATATGTTAATACCATCTGCATTATGGACTTGAGTTCCCCCTTTCTTCTTTGTTTGCACAGAGCTGAAGAAGGTATTTAATAAATTTGCATTCTCTTTGTCCCCAGTCACCACTCTACATTATTTTGTACAGGGCCTACATGCTTGGACCAGACCTTTTCATTATTAATGTATTTGAAAAAATGTGGGTTCATTCTACTCTCTTTTGCAATCTGTTGATCATTTTGATTTTTATTCAGCCTTGAGTTCCTTTTTACATATTTTGTTATATTCTTGGTAACATTTACATGATTATAGTGTTCTTTCATTTTTATAATATATATTTTTTAATATTTATAGTTTTTTAACTTTAGCCATGAGCCACATAAGTTTTTATTCCACTTATTGTCCATGGAAATGTATTTTGCAGTATGTTTGCACAGTTATTTTGAATAATTCCCATTTCTGTTTTGTGTTCTTCTTTGCCAATATTCCCTCCCAGTCTAAAACTTGGAGAGCAGCCACCCGCCTTGAAAAATGTTTTCTTTTAAAGTGGAACTTTAGATAGAAAACTAAGTCCCAGTAGATCACTTCAGAAGGCAATAGCTATGTAAAACATTAAAAATAAGTACCTATACTGTTTAAAATCCAGTCACCCTGCTCTGCACATGCTTAGATGCATTGTTTTTAGAGACTGCTGAACAGCCTTACAGCCTAAAGGTTTACTGCTGCTCAGGGGCTCTGAGCTTCAACAAAATGGTGGCCTCCAGCAAGAAGAAACAGGAACAATGCTGAAGGCAATTTACAGCACATACTAACTTTTGGTAGCATTATTATGAATCAACTTCTTATGCGTAAAGTTCCTCTTTAAAGTTTTATCTTTCCAGCATGTGCTGGCTGTTAACAGCTAATATTAATTACAGTAAATGCATTTTATGGTCACTGCTACCCAGATGTTCTTTTATATGAACATTAGTATTAAGTTCTGCATGGTCTGAGATGACCAGGTCCAGCAAAGCATCATTTCTAGTTGGGATTCTCCTTGAACTGTACCATAAAATGTTTGCCCTTTAACTGTTCTAGCAGTGCCATTACTCCAGTCAATTTCAGGCTAGTTACAATACCCCATTATCATCAATGTCTCAGCCCTTGCAGCCTTTTCTATCTGTGCCAGATAGAAAGCTGAGTGTCCACCACCTCATTAACACTGGGTGCACTGGGTGGCCTATAACAAACTCTAATGATAAAGTATGTACACCCATATGCAGTGACACCTATAATGCTTCAGCCTCATGACACTCTCCATCAACTAGGTCTTTTTTCACACTTATTTTGAGATTGCTTGCTCCTCCCCCCATCCTTCAATTCTAGTTTAAATACTCTTCCAGCCTTTCCAAAAACCTCTCCCCAGCACAGAAGACTCCCTTTCATTTAGGTGAAAATCATCTTTAGCATATAGGTTGTACCCCAATAAAAAGTAAGCATGGTGCTCTAGAAACAGCAAGTCTTCCCTCTTACAGTAGGTCTTTAACCATTTGCTGCCTGCCCTATGGCCAAATGGCGGCCGGTAAATGTCATCAGTGTTTCGGGTGGGCGCCATTTGGCGTCCTCCCGCACATGCGCAAATTGCGCTCCCTGCAGAGCCGCACAGCGGCGTGATCTGTCACCGGCTGTGACCTCGGACACGGCCGATGACAGATCTGAGTATCGGCCCCCGTTGCCGGTACCATGTGACCTGCTGTGACCAATCACAGCAGGTCACATGACAGTTGTGTACAATGGATGGCTTCATTCATGCCATCCATTGTATACTAGTGTCTAGCTGTGAATGGTCACAGCTAATCACATGCACATGTCATGTGATTAGATGTGGCCAAATCACAGCTAAGCACAAAAAAAAAAAAAAACCCTGAATGAATCGATGTCATTCAGGTAATTGCTTGCTTATAGCAAAGTAATTCTTTGCTATAAGCAAATTGTGTAAAAAAAAAAAAAAATAAAAAATACTGATCACTTCCCCAAAGTAGTATAATGTTACTATGGTAACATTGTACTACTTTGGTCATAGTAAATTATGAAAAAAAAATCTTAAAAGAAATTTAATAAAAAAATAATAAAAAAAAAAAAAAACAATATATATATATATATATATTTTTCATACCGTCACCAGTCAGTGTCCCTGATCACTGCCATGCCAGTTATATGATGACGCTGTACTGCACTGGTGACAATATGTAAAAAAAAAATAGTGAAACTAATTTATTTAATTTTTTCATTTTCCGAAAATTATGACAAGAAAAATACAACTTCAAAAAACTCGCCATGCCTCTTATGAAGTACGTCGGACTGTCTACTTTGCAAAAAGGGGTCATTTGGGGGATATCTGTACTGTTCTGACATTCTTGGACCTCAAGAAATTAGATTGGCTGTCAGTACTTCAGGATTGATCAATTTTCAGATCTATACCATAGTTTGTGAACTCTATAACTTTCCTACAAACTAAAAAATACATCCTAATTTGGGTTATTTTCACCAAAGACATGTAGCAGAATACATCTTGGCCTAAATTTATGAAGAACAATTATTTATTTGCAAACTTTTATAACAGAAACAAAGAAAAACGTTTTTTTTTTTAATTTTTGGCCTTTTTTTTTTTTTCGTTAATTTAGCAAAATATAAAAACCCCGGCGGTGATTAAATACCACCAAAAGAAAGCTCTAGTTGTGTGAAGAAAATGATAAAATTTTAGTTTGGGTACAATGTTGTATGACCGTGCAATTGTCATTCAAAGTGTGAGAGCGCTGAAACCTGAAAACTGGCCTGGGCAGGAAGGTGTAAAATTGCCCGGTATTGAAATGGTTAACCATGCATTTAGTTCTCTAAGCTCCCTGTGTCTTTACTGTGTTACACATGGCACATGTAATATTTCAGAGAATAGCACCTTGGAGATTCTTCCCTTCAACTTGCAGCCTGGTTCTTTAAAGTGATTCTTAAGGAGCCTCCACTTACCATTTTCCTATTACCAACCACTTTCTAGGCCTTCCTACACTACCCTCACCACCCCTACTAGTTGAGCTTCTCTCACAGCTGTTAGGGGTAGCAGTAACATCAAGGGTTGTCACCTCTGAATTTTCCACCCCCACATCTTCACCCAAATTGTCGAATATGTTTGGGTGTAATTAATTTATTGTTCATAGTTTGGGCAGAGATGCACTTTAAACAATACAGTCACCTTTGGGAACATGTTACATGTTCCAACCATTATCATGGTGGAACATGTAACATGTTTCCAATGCTGCAGTTGATGCTGCTGCTGCCCCCCCCCATGACAGAAGTACAGGGAGAAGCTCCCCGTTCTAGCTGTGTCTTTTTTTAAACAGCGTGGCCGTGTGGGGCTCCGCTCACAGTGTTCTGTAAAGGAATGAACTAAAGACAGTCTGTGCTGCTGTTGGCTTGTAGTTCTCAATGAATCTTTCTGTCAGTATATCTGCTTGCCCATACAGGCAAGAAGATATACTGACAGGTCTGCAGGAGACCTGCATGGCACCAGTGATTTGCTGGTCGCTGGTGCAATGCTTTACAGGCTCCTGCAACCAAAAATAATAAATACACATTTTTTAACTGCAAAAAAAAAATTTGCATTTCTTATTTGTGTTAAAGGTGAACTTATCCTTTAATGTTAACAGACCATTTCTTACACTGTGAACAGATTCTTTAAATTTTCTTCGCATAATGTCTATTGTATTAGGTCATAAACTCAGAAAATGTTACCTGTATAGTAAATTTGGCTAAACTAGCTAATAGTACAGAATACATAGTACCAACATTGACCTTCTCTGTTTTATGCATATGTTTGTTTACTTAAATTGATTTTGGCAATTATTGTTTTATTCTTACAAATTGCATTGACACTAATAAATTTAATTTGCATTCTAATGCTAGTGTTATGAAATATTAAATACTGTGAAATCATTTTATGAATACAAGTCTGACATTTATTATTTATATTAGATATATAGTACTAGACATCTGGCAATATTGTAAAGTGTTGTAATAGAATATTATTTTACTGTGATTTGAAACAAAATGTATATTGATAAACTTTCTTCTTGGAAAAGTATATTTTGACATACATAATTCATGATTAAACAACACTGGTTATTGATATGCAAATAAACTAAAAAAAAAGTGTACAAAAATATTTCAAGGTATACAGTGATAAGTTGATCTTACTGGTAAGCTTTACAATTTAATTAGAAAAGTTTTTAAAGGGAGAACAGAATGAAAATGGTAAAATAGTTCAGCTTAGCTGATCACTCATAATAGCAACCTAATGTTGTGCATAGGAGCAAGATGATGTTTTTATGTTTTTAACTTGTTGATTATGTTCTGGCCTGTAATTTTTAGGAATAACTCACTGAAATCTGTCCGAACAGGAGTCTAGTAAACATCCCGGGTATGATAAAATTTGAAACACAAAATCATAAATTATAATTTAATAAATAATCATAAAAAATAATAATATAATAATAAATGTAATTCAATAATGTAATCAAACCAAAAACACTGAAATTTGAAATATAGCTGCAAGTTCGCACATCACTGAGCAAAGTCGCAAAATCGTTTTCAGTGTCTGATGACGAATTTCACCACAAATCATTATCACTCAATTCTGCAAGTGGTTCTAATTTACTATTGCTGTTCTCTAGCTGATCTAAAACTGATTTTGACCTAAAGGAATGCTTTTTGGACGCCATGGACGTTTCTCAGTTTCCAGGCAATAAGAACAGTAAAAATGCTGGCAGGGCACAGGACAAAGCACTAGGGACTAAATGTATGTGAAATGGTTTGATACAGTAATGTTTTAATATGTGAGTTTAGTGAATTTAGTGAATGTCACTTTTTGTCATTTTCAAATTTCCCGCCGTTCCGTCCCCGTACATCCCGACGTTGCAGGGGACGGAACCCAGAAGACAGATGCCGGCATCCGCCGGAGGACATTACAGGGGACACAGCAGGATGGACATCGCGGGAGCGCAGGACAAGGTAAGAGAAGAACAGATCCCGGAGCAGCGCCGCATGGTAAGCCCGAGTGTAGCTCGGGGTTACCGCTTGTGGCACTGAAACGTTGCCCCGAGCTACACTTGGGAATACCGCCAAGGAGGCTACGAAAGAACTTGTATACTGACATAACATACTTTTATTAAGTGTATAATATACAATGACAAGGAGTGTATGTTGCCTGCATATGGTTTGAATCCTAGATATGTATATTAATTCCTTAACAACTATGTTAGGATTTGTATGTATGTAGGTATATTTACATGTACACCCCAACATCTGGCAGGAAAAAGCTAAAAAATGTACTCACAGCCACGCATTGCACACACGTTTAGGTGCATCAAGAGATTGAACATTTATGGATTCCATTGGCCAGAATATTACTTTATTCTGGCCATTTGAGTGAATGAATGCTCAAGTACTAAACCCATCTAACATTTAGATTGGATTAGATTAGATTACATTCAGCTTTATTGTTATTGTGCAAAGTACATGTACAGAGCTAATGAAATGCAGTTAGCATCCAGCCAGAAGTGCATAAACGGCCCATTTACAATAAATAACAATATAACAAAAATCTGGGTATGGAAAATACAGTAATACCATAATCAGTGCAATGAGTAGTGCATTAATGGATGAAATATGGTGAATAAAATATACAGTAATGCAATATTGTCTAATAATTAGCTGTTCAATGCTTTAACAGCCGCAGGGAAAAAACTATTTTTCAGTCTATTTGTATATTTAGGTGTGTTTAGACCTACTTAAATGTGTTTACATGCATCAAGAGTTTTTTCTGCCCAAAAGCTCCTCTCCTAAATGCATGGGTGACTTTTTTTTTCAGCATGTAAATGCTCTTCTTGTAATATGTATGTAAATGCCTATGTGTACATGGTCACATAGGCTAACATAAAAGTGCTTTTACAAGATGAAAAAAATGTCAAACACCTGTAAAAGATGCGTTTTTAGCTCCTGCGGACATGAGGCCTTAAGAACAACAGCATATGCCATGTGGCCTCTACGATTAAGCCCCGTATGGGTGAAACGCATTAGAGGGGGTCTCCTAGGGGTGGGGGGCAAAGCTGAAACCATTCTTATTTAATTAAGGTTTACAGTTCCAAGGTTGTGTGTGGACAGGTGCCATTTTACTGTAGTAAAAGCATGGGGGGGGGGATTTACTAAAGCTGGCTCACTCAGAATCTGGTGCACCTGTGCATGGTATCCAATCAGCTTCTGTCCTCAGCCTACTCAATTAAGCTTTGGCAATAAAACCTGAAATACGATTGGGTTCTATGCAGAAGTGCACCTGATTTTGCACTCTCCAACTTCAGTAAATAAACCCCCATGTGTCAGCCAGAACTTTACTGAGAATGGAATCTAAAGGTAGGCAAGCAAACAGAACTGCAGCTGTGAAATTTACTAAAAGTAATGCCTATCGCACAAACAGATGTTTTGTTGGTATTTTACAATCTCTGACATAATACAAGAGAAGCAGAGAACTGTAATACCCTGCACTGGATGCAATGTTACAGAACCATTTGGCAATTTTTAATACGGCAGACAAACCACTTAATATGATACAGCTAGACAAATGCCTATGGCAACACTGTTTGAGGACAGCATAATAATACATTTTATTGTATTTGCTGTCTCTTAAACCCCTCTGTAGGTGTGTTTGTTCTTGCTATACGTTTATTAGATGCGTAAGACTATATTTTTTTTGCTTTTAATAAAGTTGACTACAATAGATGTATTTGTTGCTTTACTTAACCCCCCAACAGTATATAAATATGAAATAACCAACTATTTTATTGTACCTGATGTAAAAGTTAAAATTTTCAGTATTTTGAATTAGCCAATAAATGGCCAATAAATAGTATTTTTAACTCCTCTCATGTACTGTTCTCACTGAAAAACATAAAAAAGTTGTTTAGAATAAAGAAAAAGTAAAAGCTAAGTCATCCACTTCAAATACAGACCTAAAGGTTCAATCATTACCTTGGCAATTCTGCTGTCTTTTAACAGAAGTGAAAATATCTTAGTTGCAGGAAAAAAAAACCAGGAGCAGGTGTCACTATCTGCTGTGTCTTTAGCAATCGGGTCAATTCACCCGGTCACTTCATTTACTAGCTGGAAAGCCTTGGCCATGTGAACAAAGGGCTGGGGATAGGCAGGATATAAAGAACCAGCAAACACAAATGCTCCTACCCTTGGGGATGGACTCGATGCAGGCTACAACCACATTAAGAATGTCCTGGAACATGCACACCTTGCTGCCCTCAAATGGACCGGGGGAATCCAAATATACTGAATGGGGAAAAAACAAACACTGACGCATTTCGAGGACTTGCCTCTTCCTCAGAGCCTCTGAGGAAGAGGCAAGTCCTCGAAACGCGTCAGCCTTTTGGATGTCTAAACTCCCTATTGCGGACTGTTACTCAGCGCGGTGTTGACCCAGCTGTTCTTTTATGATGTGCCTTGACTATATTGTCGTTTGTGAGTACAACACCTACTTTATTTTTTATTAAACATTTTTTATGGTAATGCACTAGGCCTGTGCGGCCTCTCTTTGTTCTTTCCCCATTCGATAGGCAGGATATCACTGACAAATATGCCCACATAGCCATATTTCATCAATTATGTCACCTGGGAGACCCCACTCCTTCATTTAATTTTATTAGTAGGGCCAGGGAGATGTCATTCGGTGTGAGTCAGTGACAGGATTGCATTTGCCAGTTGGTCGATAGGATTTTTTTCTTTTGATAGGTGTCAAACATTCTTAATTGTGATTGACATGAATCTGCATTTCTGAACACTGTGACTGCAGATGCACATACATCATGACACTTTGGTGTTTTTTTTCCTCCAAAGCTGTGGAAGTGTCTTTATTTACTGTTTCTCTTTTTTCTGTGAATGAGTAGAGGCACTATGTACCCCTTACTCATTCACATGGGTGTCACCTTATTGTTAAATGGGACTTCCAGATGCTGGTAAGCCCCCTACACACAGACCCTTACATTGGCCAGACCAGGGTTGTAGAGAAGAGTTCCCTGTCTTTATCAATGTTGAGGGCATGTATCCTGGTATGATTTGGAGGGAAAAAGCTTACCCCCCCCCCCCTTTTCCTGACTAGCCAGGCTGCATGCTTATATAAGGGCATAGCATGGATTTCTGGGAGGGTACACTTTTTTGTTATTTTGCTTGGAGTTCTCCCTTAACATTCATATCAGGTCCTAAGGGTCTGGTATGGAATTGGGGGAACCACGTGATTTTTTTTCTTATTGTTTTGCATTGGGTCATTCTTGACATCCATACCAGACCCTTACAAGCGTCATTTGTTTTGTGTATGGGGTTCCCTGATTTACATCCTCATCAGACTCTCATCTAGGATAAGGGTCTGGTATAGATAAAGAGAACCCTTGGTCTATAATTTACAAACATTGGTAAAGAGGCTGAAGCTGTCATTTTCTGGCAATTTAAACAGCATTTTTTGCTTTGTAAATGTCAGCTGTAGTAAGTTAGGAAAGCTTCACAGTCAGAACTGTACCTTAAAGTTGAACTCCAGGGAGAAAAAAAACACAAATTGTTATAGCTCTATCATCATAAATATATATAATTTTTATGTAAGCAATGTAAATACCTAAATTTGATTTGATCTTATCCTCCTACAATCCTTGTACAGCAAACCTCAGATTGAAAGAAGGAGATGCAACTCAAGACGCCAATTAGATTTACTGCAATGCTGAAAGGAGGAGAGAGCAGAGTGACAGAGAGGTGATTTCATCAGTCTGCTGCTTTTAATTTCACTGTCCATTCACAGGCTAGGAGAGGGACAAAACCTGTGTTACTTAACTGCAGTAGAGAAAATTCAGGTCTCCTGCCCTGCTGTACATGTCTACACTATGTGTCAGACCAGCGTAAATCTCAGGACTGGATAGATAGAAACAGTATTAAACGGAGTTCCAGTCTTTTTTTAAACTTCAAATATTTCAAATGCCCCTTCAAAGTACAGTGCGAAATGGAAATTATTTTTTTTGTTTGTTTCTAAATACCTTTATTATAATTCTTCGGGCGGCACTTCCTGTCCCGATGACGTCATCAGGTGATTCCCATTGATTCCTGGGATATCGGCGTCATCTATCCCAGGAGTCTTTGGGAAGCCTAATAATGTAATGTGATTGATAGGTTGCCATAGCAACTGGGTGAGTACTTCCGTGACGATGCCATTGCTATGGCAACCTGCACTAAACACAATACGCCGTGCAGTGTCATTACTGCGCAGGCTTGAGATCGGGAGGTGCATGCTGGGTAGCCAGCTGCACTGAATCCCAGAAAAAGACACACGTGGGCTTCAGATGCCCACATTCTAAATGGCCACCTGCCTGCATCTGAGATCAGGTACATTTTTAAAGATTTAAAGCTAACCAGCACGAATATTGTTCTAACAGTATTCTAATTTAAATGTACAAGTAATAAGAATCACAAGGGAATTAAAAAAAAATTGATTATGGGGACTGGAGCTCCGCTTTAAGTTAGCAGCAAAAACAGATCCAATGTATATGTCAGCATAATCCAAGAGAAAACTTTAAAGCCAAAACCTTAATCAGTCGACAAGCATCAGTATGTGCTCCTGTTCTTGGGACCACCCCCTGACATGTTTCATCTGATGGGTTTAATCATAGATAATGTATATGATTCACCAGTGTAATTAGCTATATGCCTAGAGTTCCACTTTAAGACCACAGGGTTCCGATGCCATTTTTGCAACAGACCCCCATTATAGCTTATACAAAGATTTTCTGGGCTCATATTTAGGAATTGGACAGATTTTTTAATAAAATGTATAATGTTTATCTTCATAAATAAAAGCATAGAAATGCAGAAGAATGACAGCAGAAAAATATCAAGTTGGTACTTTTTTTTAAATTTATGTCTAAGGATAGACCAATGTTTATCCCAAGCATGTTTAAATTTACTTACTGTTGATTGATTTAACTTACTCTTGAGAACACATATTAAAACAAGAAACAGCATCTACAGGTATGCTTTCATCTTTATGTTTGCACCTTTTGCATTCTTTATAGATACTCCCTATGTGTTAGAACATATACGGTAAACTGTATATACAGTGCCATTGCTGTGAAAAGGAGTGTACTGCATGTACCTTGGATAGTAGGTTCTCTGTTCTAGGGTTGTTGTGTAGTTGTCAGCACTAGTGGGGATACTTGTTTTTTGGGTTTTTGTTTTGGTTTTTCTTGTAATATATTATTGTGAGGTTAGGAATTGTATTAAAATAAAAACAAAATTAGAAAATTGCTGCCCACAAACCTTCTAACAAAAACCTTACTTAGAGCAATAAAGCAGTTAATTCACAAGCAAAGGTGATAATGAACTACCTAAACAAGTAAACAAACATTGCAGTGGTTTCCTAGATTATCCCCACATACTGAAATAATATTTGCTAATTGGACTTAGCAACAAACATATCCAAGACACTTTAATTCAAGCATTTGCTCTCCTAAATGGCTGCTCGTTATTAAATCTCAACAGCTAGTAATTGTACTGACAGACATCAGGGTTACTAAAGCAACAGCAGAACAATCAAAATGAATGTATTTACGTAGATTTACTCTTTGCAAATTGTACATGGATAATTATGTGACACTAAAATTACAACTATTATATCTCTTCTATTAATATCATTAATAGTGCTGTTTCTTTTATTCTGCTATTTCAAACATAGCTCTTTTCTAGTCATAAGAGTGTAGTTTATTTTAAAAAGATAAGGCAATAAAATAGGAATGCTGAAAAAAAACAAAAAACAAAAAACAAACCTGTACCCTGTCGTGTGTTAGAGGGGTGCTAGTACTGACTTGCCCTTCTAGAAATGCTAGCTCACTGGTTCGAATGGTTATCCCTGGCTGATTAATTTATGGGAGTACAGGCTATTCACTTGGTAGAATTGATCATTTCAAAGTGAATGTTAGTAAATAAAATGAACCACCTAAATACCCTGAAATTCTTTTTTTTACCATGGGTATTCAAAATGAAAACAGGCTCATCTTGTTTACCAATGTTTACTATACAAGTCAACATACGCTTTGCAAAGTGAACATTGACTTCAGTAACAAACCAGCTTTACTCCATTACTAGCTCTACCCCATAGACAAAGCTAATGTTAAAGCCAGAGGATCAAAGATGCAAACTGGAGTATGTAGAATGGATTTACTAAATGGGTTGAGAATAATAATAATAATAATTTCACATAATAAATTGAATATTTACTTCCGGCTTCCAATGAAGTGCAGATGAAGTCAACAGAATTTTCTTTTCACTTGACCGGATATTTGAAGTAAATATTCACTCAATATATTGTGTAAAGTTTCTCAATCTAAAGTAGAGCTAAAGGCAAAACGTATTTTATATTGTGTGAGGGAGGGTTACAACTCATGGCAGTTTTTTTACCATCAGTGTGTCCCAATGGGAAGAATTATCTTGTAGTCAAATCAGGAAATTAGATGAAATCCCTCTAAAGTGAGGGTATCCCTAGTTGTCACCAGGGTAACTAGATCTGGTGTCCCTATTGGATGATTTCCCTTCTATTCATTTTCTGGTGACAACCTGAATTCTGGGATTCTGGGAAAGGCAAAACATGTGTGCATAGATATAAAAAAAAAGGTAAAAACCCTTTTGCCTATGTCATTGAAAAAGATCTGGGGGAGGAGAAACAGCTGCATGCTAAACTTCCCAGTGAATGGCTGTGAGGGGGGGGGGGGGAGAAGGGGTTAGTGTGGTCAGCTTTTAATAGGAAAGCAGAAGGACTGGCACACACAAAGGAAACAAGAGAGCAGGATAATTTTTCATACAAGTACATGGTAGAGCAGCCACATAACAGGAATATGAAGTGTTGGGTTTAGATATTCTTTAATTAATACAAAGCTTAATTTGTTATATATATTGCTGATACATTTTTAATGTCATGATGGCATCCAAGAGAGATGCACAAAACTTGTGTCTTTGATAAAATTCGCAATTTATATTGAATGTGTTCTGTTATGATATGCCAAACAGACTGTTATCCAAATATCTTATCTATCATTAATTAAGCTCATACATTGTACATTTAAATGGTTCAAGAGCTGGTTTTCTTACAACACCAAGTTACAAGCAATAAAGTGACTTGCAGCAGCAGGGTGGCTTGTTCCATGACAGTAGTAATTTACCTTTCTAAAACACTCTGTTCTTTGAGAATACCTTTACATCTATTCAGATTTTCCCTCCTTTTTTCGTTTTACTTCTTAGTGGTGTGCTGGCAGGTCTTGCACAACCTGTCACTTGACGTTTTGCCTTGGGGGCTCCAATTAGGTTCACATTTGCTGTATCCAATGCTGCTTTGTTTGTAATTGCTTTTCTGGTCTCTTGCCTGAAATGATTTGAAATGATCTGTATGCATTTATAAAAGACATACGTCTTATTTTATGTTTTCTTCTAGTTAGTAATTTACAGATATGATAGGGTGTGCCTTTAACCCCTAATTGTGCCATTAATTTAATTTATTTTCTAGTGTTTCTGTTGATACGTCTTTTTTTAGCATTCTGAAGTGTTGTCTTAGGTGTTGATTTGCTAAAGACAAATATGCCGTGCACTGCAAGTGCCCTCCAAGTGCACTAAACTTGCAGTTGCTCTAGATCTGTAGGGAACATGCAAGGAAAAAAAAGCATTTTTGCTTGCTCATGATTGGATGAAACAAATCAGCAGAGCTTTGCCTCATTTCAGAGCTTCCCCTTGGATATAAAGCAACTGCACTTTCAGTGCACTTGCAGTGCACAGCATATTTGCCTTTAGTAAATCAACCCCTTAGTCTTGCTTGGTATTTAAAATTTAGAGGTTTTCTTCCTATTTTTCCAATGTTATGAGAAGGACATTGTCATATGGATGACACACAATTGGGATCACAATCCTTGACAACAATGTATCTTTAACATCCTTCTGTCATAAATAAATCTTATACCTTACCATCACTTACCCAACCATTTCTTCCAGACATGCAATAAATAGAATCAGTGAGCGCTTAATAATATAGCAGCTATAGCACAAAAAAGGTAACCACAATAAAACCTCATAAAATACACAAGTAGAAAGTGCAGCATTAAAAGATATATACTCCAGTCTGGTAGGTAATAGATTATAATATTAAATGATAAAATAATAGTAAAATAATAGATCAGTAAAATAATATAATGATAAAATTGGTGACAGTTCGTGGTAGGTGATAGGTACAGGAGTTGATAGTGACTTCACGTTCCGGGGTGTGGTGATAAATAGTAAAAATACGCACTCACCAGATGCATATCTTTCAGTACGCATATAATCAATAAAATCAGAGGTCCCCCTCATCCATACCATGCCATGAGGGGGACCTCTGGTTTTATTGATTATATGCGTACTGAAAGATACGCATCAGGTGAGTGCATATTTTTACTATTTATCACCACATCACCGAAACGTGAAGTCACTATCACCTCCTGTACCCATCACCTACCACGAACAGTCACCAATTTTATCATTATATTATTTTACTGGTCTATTATTTTACTATTATTTTATCATTTATTATTATAATCTATTACCAGACTGGAGTATATATCTTTTAGCGCTGCACTTTCTACTTGTGTATTTCTTCCAGACAATGAAAGTCAGCATTGCCAGTTTCTCTCCCTTTAAAACAATAAAGAACATTTAAAATACTTTGTACAATTTATAACTGACAACCTGTATTTCTAGAAATGTGTTTAATGGTAATACAATAGCATATAAAGGAAATAGCATATTTATTTGTGTCAAAACAATCATCTGAGCCTTCATGGTAGTAATAATGTAATACTTATATGGTAAGTTACCTCTTTAGCCTGTTCTAGTTAGTTTTCCTGGTACCCAAAAGGAACATTAAAGTGAATGTAAAAGAAAATGAAAAAAAAAAACAATACCAAACATGTTACACTTACCTACTCTGTGCAATGGTTTTGCACAGAGCTGCCCCAATCCTCCTCTTCTACGGTCCCCCGCTGGCACTCCTGGTTCTTCCTTTCTTCTGAGTGTGCTATGGGGACACTCAAGCAGGCTGGGTGGGCTCTGTGTGTCCATTGACACACACAGCATTGCTTGTCTCCGGCCCCTTTCTTCACAGGCTGTGACTGACAGCAGCAGGAGCCAATGGCTCCCAGTGCAGCCTCCGTGTCCAGTGAGGAGGGGGAGAGAGGAGAGAGCTGCTGCTCTTGGGCACAGCACTGGATCCAGATTGGACTTAGATAAGTATTTGGGGGGCCTGGGTGGGAGCTAAAAGCACAGGGGTTTTTACCTTAATGCAAGGAATGCATTATGGTAACAAAACCTTTTGCCTTTACAACCAATTTAAGGCACATTTTTGCTACCGTATTGTATCCAGTCTCATATACCTGTTTATTGTAAATGATTGAGTTCAGTAAAACAATCCTATACAGTTGGCAAACAAGTCAGAAGTCCTTCTCTGAATTCCAGTGTTTGATCAGTGACTCAAGGTACTGAAACAAAGAGCCAGCATAATAGCAAGAAAAAAGACATTTTTAGGAGCAGTCTTCATTGTTCTCTGATGGCAGGTTTACTTTATTAAACAATTTCATCGGCATTTCCTATGTACAAAATTCAGTAGAAAATAGGGTAACATCTCAGTTACTATTGTCACTCCACTGAAGTTTGTATATCCATTTTGGGTAGGGTGGGTTGAATTTCCTACTGGCTTCTTCCATATCTTAACCTACCTGGCAGTATTCCCGAGTGTAACTCGGGGTAAAGTTTCAGTACCAAAAGCGGTGACCCCGATCTACACTCGGGCTTACCATGCGGCGCTGCTCCAGCATCTGTTCTTCTCTTACCTTGTCCTGCGCTCCCACGATGTCTCCTCCTCCAGTGTCCCCGGCAATGTCCTCTGGGCATCTGTCATCTGGGTTCTGTCCCCGGCGAGCTTCGGGACGTATGGGGGACGGAACGGCGGGAAATTTAAAAAATGACAAAAAGTGCCTGCATTTTTTTTACTGTTCTTTCTGCCTGGAAACTGAGAAACGTCCACAGCGTCCAAAAAGCTCCTTTAGGTCAAAATCGGTTTTAGACCAGCTAGAGAACAGCGATAGTAAATTAGAACCACTTGCAGAATTGAGTGATAATGATTCATGGGGAAATTCGTCATCAGACACTGAAAACGATTTTGCGACTTTGCTCACTGATGTGCGAACTTGGCGCTATATTTCAAATTTCAGTGCTTTTGGTTTGATTATATTATTGAATTAAATTTATTATTATTATATTATTATTTTTTATGATTATTAAATTATAATTTATGATCTCGTGTTTCAAATTTTATCATACCCGGGATGTTTACTAGACTCTTGTTCGGACAGATTTCAGTGAGTTATTCCTAAATATTACAGCCTACAATAAAAAAAAATACATATTTCCATGCAAAAAAAGTACCCGCTTTGAGCACAGAAATATGGACATAATCAGACCGCTAGGGAGATTAAAAGAGGTTAAAGATGGTTGCAGTAGTTGAAATAAACTAAAATATTTGGTAGGGATAGCACTTCTTCGCTGAAATCCTGAAAGATATTAGAAGCTTACATCAATTTAACTTCCCAGCAACTACAGTATGTGCTTAAGGTAATTGTAGCCATATGCCAGCAAAACTAATATATGAGCTATGAGTAGTGTTACCTTCTGGAACATTATCTTTAAATGTTTGCTCTAAGTTACTGCACCTTATGCATATTAACATATTTTCCTTTTTTTCACAGTTTTAGCAGGAAGCATTGTTGGAACATAATGGGGTTTATTTTCAAGAGCAGTTGCACTCTGCAAAGGGATTTTCCCAAGAGCTTAGTGAATAAGGTTAAGCCAACTTTCATCATCCAATCATGTGCAAAAATACTACTGTTTTTTTTTTTCCTTGCACAGCGAAAAAACCCGCAGAGCTCAATTTCACTTGCAATGTTAACAGTGCATTTGTCTTTAGTAAATCGACCCTAATGGGTTGTAATTATGCACTATTGGCACTGCATAAACAAGACCAAATGAAATACTGTTTTGGCATGTGCCTAGCCATAGTTCTGTCCAATTTCTGCAAAACATTGAGCAATGGGTTCATAAAAAAACTTCGTTATATGCTTCTGATTTTCATTTTTCAACCATTAATTGCCAAGAGGATTGAGCAACTAAAAAAACCCAAAACAATAAAGAATCAGACATAATGATTTACTGAGAGGAATCACACACCGGGCTGGACATTAGTAAGCATTTGCATGGCATTAAAAAAATTTCCATTTTAATGTAACATGAGAAGGATTTGATGGGGAATGTTAGAACATGAAGTCCTTAAAGTGTCAAACCCCTTTTTTTAGGATATTTGAAAATGGAAACTTCTGTACCAGTAATATGCAGACTGAAAAATAATGATATCCTGACTTACACTTTAGTTGTTCCGCTAGAAGTATTTGAAGGCACTCTGTGTTTAGGTGTTCTTTAAATATAATGTGATGCAGCAGACATTGTAAATCAACTTCGTAGCTAGAAATAACTATGTTTAAAATAGGCTGCTCTCAGGATGCAGTGAGCAGAACCTTGAGCAGCATAATTGACAGTCAGATCACACTTAGCTGAACTGTAATCTCTAGCAGCTCTCATTTTGTACATGTGCATTTCATAAACATTATAGGAATGTCTCTGAAATTGGTTTACTTAGCTATTTCATTTTAATTTTACACATTTCATTTATACTACTACAGTTTAAAGGGGACATAAAGTAAAAACAAATGACAAATCTATCTTGCTGCTGCCATTAAAAAAATGTCAGTCCATGGCCATGCTCTTCCAAATATTTAGAAACTTCCTGTATTAGTGTCTTCTTTGCTGCATCTTAGAATGGGTTTTGTATGAACTGCCAGCACTGATCGGCTGCCTCACCATTTTTTTATTTAGTAGTGTTTGTGTGTTTTAAAATAAAGGAAATTTATAGCCGACTCAATTTTTTTAAAATTTATTAAGGCAAATGTGTTGGGAGTGCAGTGGCTAAGGTGGTTAGCACTTCTGCTTACTATCTCTAGGGTCATCGGTTCAAATCCCAACCACAGCACTACCTGTCCAGAGTTAGCACTTTCTCCCTGTGCCTGCATGGGTTTCCTCCCACACTCCAAAGACACACTGGTAGGTAAATTAGCCCTAGTATGTGTATGTATAAATGTGATTTTTGGGGGCCTTACATTATAAGCTCCTTGAGGGCAGGGATTGATGTGAATGTACAATATAAATGTAAAGTGCTCTGTAAGTTGACGGCGTGGTATCTGTAATAGAAAATAATAATGGTCTCCACATAATAAACAAACAAAACCAGCGCTGGAATCTTCATGCAGACTAGGATAACTTTAAATGCCAAACGTTTGAGGTCCAGCCCTTAGAAGATCGGGAAACCTTGGTACTAGTGAACAAAAGCAAAACAGGGCGCACTCTCCTCATGCATTACCGTGGTGAGACACAAATTTATTTAAAAGCATATATATATATGCATAGTCACAAACCAAAGGGGGATAAAAACAAAGAAGATGAGTCCGAAATAACAGTCCAAGGGTTTTACTGTCACTTTGGACTGTTATTACGCACTCTTCTCTGTTTTTATATCCCTTTGGTTTGTGAGTATGCATATAAATGCTTTTAAATACATTTGTGTTTTACCACGTGTTAGAAATCAAATTTATGATTCGGCACTTATATTGATGGCAAGCTTGCAAAATATTTGGTTTTTTTTTTAAACGATTAATCATAATTAATATTAATATGTGTGAATTGTCGCCTTAAACCGATGATAATATTTAATTCTTCAGTAAAATAGCTGAGATATAGCTATAGCTGAGACCAAAAGATATATAAGTTAAGCTGAGACAGTAAAATAAGACAGGAGTTAGCTGAGACCAGCTAAACCAGCTGAAGACTATATTTAGGCATAGCTGGTTAAAAGTCTCTGGTAGTAAAATGTCAAAGGTATTAGGAGTACTCATTATAGACTTACTATTACATTATGTATTTTAATAGTAGCTGTGTGTATTTAGTATATGTTTCTAATATTGATGCATATATAGATTAGTGATTATACATTGAAGTTATATTATCATTTAAATATGAATAGCTGAGGTTACATTATCAGCTTACAATATTATGTACATCAGCATACATATGTTCCTGTCCATCAAAAACATTATGTGTGAGTGTCGTCCCCTCCCTTCTATGCCATAGAAGGTATTACGAATCTCTCATTATGACACACTCATTCTGCATAAAAGGTCCATAAGGGACAGAGGACAAGAGCTCACACACACGCTAACACTGACACTCTGACACACACACATACATGTCTAGGACGTTCTGAGAAAATCCAACAGGTGCATGCTGCAAGACAAAGACCGTCACTTCCGTCTATTTCCAGCTTCTTCCCAAAAGACATGAGAAGCACAAGAAGAACATGGAGAACAGCACATGGCCAGGACAGCCATAAGAAATAATTGTGACTTATCTTTAAACTTTTGCTTGATATTACATTACATTACATTACATCGAGTTTATATAGCGCCAAAGGGTTTGCTCAGCGCTGTACAATAGAGGGGGGGACAATACATGAAACATTACAGCAACTACAAACATCACACGAGGGGTTGGAGGGCCCTACTCTTTCGAGCTTACAATCTAGGAGGGAGGGGGTCATGGTACAGGAGGAAGTGGCTGTGGGGGATGGAGTGGTAGGAGGAGGAATGAAGGAGAGCTGAAGGTGAGGAGGGAAGGTGACAGTCCAATGGATTGGGGTAGTGAGTTCCAGAGGATGGGGGAGGTCCTGGAGAAGTCCTGCAGATGTGCATGTGAGGAGGAGACCAGGGAGCAAGATAGAAGGAGGTCCTGTGAAGAGCGAAGGGTACGGGTAGGGTGGAACTTGGGATCAGGTTGGTGAGGTAGTCAGGGGCTATTTCTACAGTAGTTTTATCTACATGGAACTGTTCATGATACGCTTTACATTGTTATGTTAAACCATTGTGTGATGGAATAAAATCACACTTCATTTTTTATTTCAATGGCTCTTTCATTCATAATCGCCTCAAGACACTAAAAGAAGTATTATATGTGTCTAAAATCCAACACCACGGTAATGCATGATGAGGGTGCGCCCTGTTTTTTGCTTTTGTTCACTGTCTCCACATAATGTTTTTATAAAACCTTGTATCTGTGTATAAAATTTGTAATGTTATATGTACATAGAGGTTGGTATGTTTACACATTACTCATCTACTATATGCTGTGCTTCACAACAGTTGTGCTTTACTGTTTCTTCTCATAATGCAATTCAATGAGTTGACAGACTCTGAAAACAATGCTCTCCATGTGTGACTCAGGTTATATCACAAAAGCTGTTAAAATAGAGACAAAAGACATTGATTTACTAATACTAGAGAGTGTAAAAAAGCTCGGGTGCAGCTATGCACAGAAACCAATCAACTTCTATTTTTTTTTTATTCTAAAAGCTTAACTGAACAAGCTAAAGTTAGTAGCTGATTGGCTACCATGCACAGCTGCACCAGATTCTGCCCTCTCCGGTTTTAGTAAATCAAGCTCATGGCTGACAGAGCTGAACTTCCTCTAATGACTAATCTACAAATCTCTTTATAGTATACATGGAAGAGCAAACTTGTTAATGAGAGGAAGTCTTTAAAATCAGAACAGACTAAAGCTGGGTACACACGGTCCAATGTCAGCTGGTTCCTGCATGTGTACAGATGTCCTTCCTACAGAAGCAGGTCTAAGGACTAAGGAACAGCTTTGTCAAAGGGGCATACTGTGAAACCAGCATCCCATTAGAGCTCACAGCTGATGGCTGTGAGTGCTGATCAGTGTGTTCTGGGGGGCCAATCCTCCTGTCAGAACATAAAGGCACAGCAGGAGGGATCATTGTACTAACCTTGCTTAGCTAGTACTGCAATCTCTCAGTTTCTTTTTTTCATTCAGCCC